CCAATTGGGGGTGTGTGCCCAGGTGTTTGCTGTTTCAGATCATCTGAAACTGGCATTTTTCAAACTGGAGTTGTTTAATATTCCAGGTTCATCGTTTTTAAGGAAATTAAAAATGAGATACCAAACTTCATTTCAAGGATACTTGGTAATCCATGCAAATTGGATCAAAGCACAAACTGTTCACATTGGAATAGAGCCCCAGTCAATTATCCTGAGCCATGTTAGAGACGATACAGAAAGTCATAACAAGAGTTTTGGCTAGAATAGGTCATTTGATCTTTTTCTCACTGGCACCGTCTATTGTTTTCTGATATACAATGTTCAATGTGGTGTGCAAGGCAATTCTATCTTGTGAAGGATTTGATGTGTCACATTAACCTCCCATTCAACTGGATTCAGTACATTCAGAGAATGAAAAGCATATTGTTGCTCAATATAAATTAAACTGGAAATCATTCAATGGAATAACCACTGATGAAATAGCAAATACAAATGGAAATGACAGCAAATAGAGCAGTGTAAAAAATTTTAGTGCATTGTGACAGTGCTTTTTTGAACTATGTTACTGCCTAAATCTCTTCTACTAAATTTCACTGAAAACAACCATAGAGAGAGATGTTAAATATTATAAATGTTAAATTTATATAAACTTCTCATTGTTACTTTCCAAAGAGAAATTTGAAGCATTCAAGGAAAATAATTGGGTGAAAGAAGCATTCGATTTACAAAATTCTGAAATAATATTTAGTTTTGATTTTGGTTTTAACAGGTTCACAAATTCTTTGACAACAATCTTCCCTTCCAGAGATGGATCTTAATGTCCTCCTCCTGAGCGTGGACTTGCACGGAATGATTCACTTCTAACTGATAGAAAAGGCTGATGTGATGGTGTGCGACCCGGGTCTAGGAACATAAAACACATTGCAGCTTCTACCTGGCTCTTTCTCTCTCTTTTTGTCTGTCTGTCTCTCTGTTTCTGTCTCTGTCTCTCTCTCTGGTTACTTGCACTGGGGGAAGAAGCTACCTAGTTATTAGCTACCTAATGGAAAAGTCCACACAGCTAGGAACTGAGGCCCCTTGGGGCCATCTGGGAAGGAAATGAGGCCTCTTCCTCATTTCCTCATTTCCCTCAACAGCCATGTGAGGGAGCCTTATGTCCTAGGAATCCCTCAGCCCCAGTCAAGCCATCAGATGATGCAGTCCTGTCTGACAACTTGACTGCAACCCAGAGAGAGGCCCTGAGACAGAAGCACTCAGGTAAGCCTCTCCTGAATTCCTGACCCTGGGAAACTGTGGGACACAATATATATTTGTTGCTCTGAGCTGCTATGCTCTGGATAATTTGTTAGACACCAGTACATAACTACTACAGAGTCCAAAGAAGTGAATGAAGTATTGCACTTTAATTTCGATTGGCTCTAAATTAACTATGAAATTAAACATCATCTATTGGTTTTAAGATTTAAGAAGAATATCTATGTCTAAGGGAACAGAATGCATACTATCATCATTCACAACAATCTATTTATTTGGAGTTTGATTTCTGACGGTAAACCAATTAAACAAAAGGAAGAAGCAGGCTGTCCCAGGCAGATGCTAAGATGGCCTGCCATAACTAACCTCTGGTTATTCATATTCTCCCAGTTGTTGGATCAAACACTAATCCAGGTGCTAGTGTGAAAGGACTTTGCATATGCAGTGAAGGTTCAGATCAGCTGCATTTAAAACAGGAGGATTGGGCAGCCGGGGTGGCTCAGCAGTTTAGCACCACCTTCAGCCCATGGTATGATCCTGGAGACCCAGGATCCAGTCCCACATCGGGCTCCCTGCATGGAGCCTGCTTCTCCCTCTGCCTGTGTCTCTGCCTCTGTGTGTGTGTGTGTGTGTGTGCGTGTGTGTGTGTGAGTCTCATGAATAAATAAATAAAGTCTTTAAAAATAAATAAATAAATAAATAAATAAATAAATAAATAAATAAAAAACAAACAAACAAACGAAACAGGAGGATTATCCCAAGTAGTCCTGACCTAATCAGGTGAGCCCTTAATAGCACAGGGTGCTTCCTGAGTGAAGGGACTGGAAGAGTGAGCAGGATTCATTGTGAGTGGGGGCTTTACGATGGAAGGTAATGCTGGTGGCCACAGGAGCTAAGAACAGCATCCCACTGACAGCGTGCCAGGAAGTGGAGACTGCCGACCTCCAACTACAAGAACTGGAATTCTGCTAACAGATCTGTACAAGCTTGTAGGGGGACCTCGAGCTCTAGTTGCAAACACTGTCTGTGACATGCTGAGGAGAAGACCCCTCAGCATCACTCCTGGACTGCTGACCTACAGAACTGTGCACATACACATGGGTGTGGTTGTAAGTCACTATGTTTGTGGTTAATTTGTTATGCAGCAATAGAAAACCACCACATAGCCTCAATGCACATCACATTTTCCCAGTGGAATGAATGTATGAATCGTCGTGCACACTAGTTGCATGAAATAAAATCTCATTTTTCATGTATTTTCCATTTGTGATTCTTTTAAGTGATGGGATTAAAATCTAATAGTCATATTTCATTCATTCATTCAACAACAATTAATTTAGTGCCTACTCTGCACCAAGAATGGCTTTCTACCCTAGGGGTACAGCTTTCATCAAAGTAGCCCAAAGCACCTGTGCTCTCATGCTTTACATTCTAGAGGCTTCCTAAAAGTGAGATGGAGCCCCTGGAGCATTTTCAGTGATGAAATGACACATTCCGACTCACCTTAGCAGGATCACTGACCCCAGTGGAGAGAGTGGCCCTGGGTGGCAGGTGTTGGGGTGGCAGCAGGGCGCAATCAGGAGAGGGGGTGGAGACTAAGGGGATGAGAAGGCATGAGGGCTGAGAGAGATGGAGAGAAGGGCTGCAGATGCAGGTGGAGGGAGAGAAGCAGTGGTAAAGAATTCTAAAGTAGTGGAATTTGAATACATTGTTATATCAATTTTTTATTTAATCTCTATTTCCGGGTCTTAGCAAGATATTGTTTGCATCTAATATTTACTGCACTCTGTGGACTGAATACCTGTGGCCTCCTTATGTTATCAGGGTTAAGAAGTAACCTAGATGCCACTAATACCCCAATAAAATCCTCCTTAGGTGCTCATTCATACACACAGGCAACACTGAATGCTGATGTCGGGCATTTGGACTGCCCTGAATACTTGCAACTATGAGGTGATTAATGGTTGCACACTCTGATTGAAATGTACTATATTAATGATACTTTCTCTTTTTTTGTATCCTTGATGCTCTGGCATTTGTGGCCTCCATAACTGGGGAGACATTCTCCCTCCCCTGAGTGGCCAATTCTGAGAACCAGCTAAATGCTTGACCAGGAGCACACCTTCCCTTTGCAAACATATTCTGAACTACCTCTCTTTAAGACTACCCCAGGATATGATGTTCCTCTGCTCCAATTACTCAGGACCAGCTACCAGGCTTCTGGAGACAACTCCTGTGACCCAAAGCCAACTGATGACATTATTCAGACTAGTTAATTCTAAAATGTGTCCCCAGCCCCTCTGCCTTTCTCAAGGAAAATACAATAAACGCTCTGGGCCATGCTTTCTTCCACTCCTTCTGCCCCCTGGCGCTCCTTGGTGCTCCCCCATATGGCCCTCTGTGGTGTTCCATGCCCCTCCTCTCAGTAATGTAATAAAAAAAAAAAAAACAGCTTCTTTCAATGGCATCAGCCTCTCCACCTGTCACTTAGTCACCTGGGTAAATCAAGACCCAGACACAGATCACATACAGACTGTACTTCCAACGTGCATCTTTGTATTGAGGCTATGTCTGGAATTCACAGACGGAGCTATGGAATAGAGGTCATTTTAAAGCACAAAAACTTAGAGTCTTGGCTTGGGAAAGTGAAAACGACAGTTTTGGTTATTTCAAAGCTGTTTAGGCAAATTTATACAGAAAGGACAAAATCACTACTTTGACACATGCGAGTCCCGATCTCTCAGGGGTTGTCAAGATTATGGTTAATAAACAAGAAGAAAACTGGCCTCTGTGACAATCTCTAGCTAGTCCCCAAGCACACCTGCCTCAGGTACAGAAGACACCTTGTTCCTTCACCGATTGTCCCACAGTCAGCTCTCTCTCTGGCATCAAATTCCCTGAGAGCAAGTTTCCTTCTCAGACAGTCCAGGGGGACTGTCTGGACTGTTGTTTCCTTCGCTGAGTAGAAGATTTTTATTTTTGTGCAGTCCCAATAGTGTATTTTTGCTTTTGTTTCCCTTGCCTCAGGAGACAGATCTAGAGAGGTTACTGCCTGTGTTCTCTTCTAGGATGTTTATGGTTTCAGGACTCACATTTAGGTCTTTACTCCATCTGGAATTTATTTTTGTATATGGTGTGAGAAAGGGGTCCCTTTTCTTTCTTTTTCAAGTTGCCGGCATGATGATGGACCTGTCAGGTATGGGACTATGGAATCACTTGCGGTACACCTAACACTGTATGTTAACTTCTGGAATTAAAACCCATACATAAAGAAGTAGGTAAGTAAGTAAGCAAGTCAGTCGGTGGAGGGGGAGTGGTGAGGGGTTAAAGGCAGAGAGTCAAGCTCAGCAAGGGTCTCCAGGAAGGAAGGCAGGAAAAGTGGCTGAGCCCAGTCTGGTGTCTACACCTGGTTTCTTCAGAAAGACCCTGGTCCAGGAGTCAGGGGAAAAGTGTGACAAAGAGCGCTCCACGCAAGACGAAAAGTGTCAGGTCACTGCACGGTCCCGGGGAGGGCGAGGCTCTCAGGGTCTCAGGCCCCAGGGCGGGTCCGGGGCGGGGACGCTCAGGCTGGGGGGTCCGCACCTCCCTGGGTTTCACTTCTCCCTCTCCCAACCTGGCTCAGGGGCCCCTGCCTGGAGACTCGTGACGCAGCCAAGCTCGCGCTCCCATTGGGTGCAGCGTTTCTGGAGGAGCCAATCAGCGGCACCGGGTCCCGGGCTCTAAAGCCTCCGCCTCCGCCTCCGCCCCCGAGTCCAGCGGCGACCGCCAGTGTCCCGGGAGCCCGGAGATGGAGGTGGTGATGCCGCGAGCCCTCCTCGTGCTGCTGTCGGCGGCCCTGGCCGTGACCCTGACCCGGGCGGGTGAGTGCGGGCGGGAGCGAGGGGACCCCGGGAAGCCGCCTCCCCGCCGCCCCCGGCCCCCCGCGGCCTGGGCTCCCGCGTCCCTCCCGCCTCCGCCCTGCCCCGCCCCCGGGCATCTCCCCCCGAGCCCCGGGCCCCGCGGCGGGAGGGGGGTCGGGCGGGGTCTCAGCCCCTCGGCTCCGCAGGCTCCCACTCCCTGAGGTTTTTCCACACCGCCGTGTCCCGGCCCGGCCGCAGGGAGGCCCTCTACATCTCTGTGGGCTACGTGGACGACGTACAGTTCCTGCGGTTCGACAGCGACGCGGCGAGTCCGAAGGTGGAGCCGCGGGCGCGGTGGATGGAGCAGGAGGCGCCGGAGTTTTGGGAGGAGCAGACGGAGATCGCCAGGGTGCACGCACAGACCGCCCGATCCAACCTGCAGACGGCCCTCGGCTACTACAACCAGAGCGAGGCCGGTGAGTGACCCGGGCCGGGTCCAGTGCACGAGTCCATGAACCCCCCTTGGACAGGCTCGGGTCTCCCCGAGTTCCCGGGTCTGAGATTCACCCCCAGACCGGGAGACCGTCCTGGCCCCCTACGCGGGAAGAGCCTGCAAGGACTTGCGGACTGTTTCCGAGGTCTCTGACCACTCACCGGCCGTAGAGCCAATGCCAGGGGAGTCTAGGTGGACGGGGCTGACGGCGGGCACCGGGCTACCGGGGCGGGACTGACTGAGACGGGGGCGGGGGCGGGGGGTTGCCCAGGGTCTCACACCTTCCAGTGGACCTCGGGCTGCGACGTGGGGCCGGACGGGCGCCTCCTCCGCGGGTATGAGCAGTTCGCGTACGACGGCGCCGATTACATCGCCCTGAACCGGGACCTGCGCTCCTGGACCGCGGCGGACACGGCGGCGCAGATCACCCGGCGCAAGTGGGAGGCGGCGGGCGCGGCCCAATACTACCGGGTATACCTGCAGGGGGAGTGCGTGCAGTCGCTCCTTAAGTACCTGGAGAGAGGGAAAGAGACCCTGCAGCGCACAGGTATGTGAGGCAGCTGGGACTCCGGGATCTCCCCTCCCGCTGGGGCTGTACCTCCTGCTATCCCTACAAAAAGGAAAATGGAATTGACACCAGAATTCCTTCCCTGCCCCACTTCTTGGATCCTGAAACTGAAGAGTTTCTTGGTTTTCGGTTCTGTACTAAAGAGAGACTCGCTCAGAGAACCCATCCTTCTCTCAGGACATTTAAGGGATCCAGTCTTTATGGAGAGGGATAGAGATATTTTGAAATAATTCAATAGCAGAATTCTTTGACCCTGGCATTCACCTTGGGCACCACTGACTGACTTCCTCCCTCAGGCCTTGCTCCCTGTCCCACACCTAACTTAATTGGAGGTCGGCCTCCAAGTTTTAAGAGGCACTGGGTTTTCTCTACCTAGGTCAGGACCAGAAGTCTCTGTTGTCCCACTCAGAGACCTGGAACTTCCTACCTTAGGCTATCTTATCCTGATTCTAGATCTTCCAAAGGGATAGGAAGGTATCCCAGGTCCTGGAGTTCAGGCTGGTGTCTGTATTTTGCACTCCCTCTCCCCCATTTGTCCTCTTCATTCTCAGCATGGTCACAACAGTGCTGCTTAGGTGGCCCACCCGGTATAATGCAAATTTGTAAATTTTCTGACCCTTCTCCTTAGATCCTCCAAAAATCTACCTGACCCGCCACCCCTTCTCTGACCGTGAGGTCACCCTGAGGTGCTGGGCGCTGGGCTTCTACCCTGCGGAGATCACCCTGGCCTGGCAGCGGGATGGGGAGGACCAGACCCAGGACACAGAGCTTGTGGACACCAGGCCTGCAGGAGATGGGACCTTCCAGAAGTGGGCGGCCGTGGTGGTGCCCTCTGGACAGGAGCAGAGATACACGTGCCACGTGCAGCACAAGGGGCTGGCAGAGCCTGTCACGCGGAGATGGGGTAAGGAGGGTCTTGGGGTAGAGCTTCTCCTCAGGGCAAGTGGAGCTCTTCTGGAGAATTTCAGCAGAGTCAGGACTAAAGCCAGAGGCTGTACCCTCGTCCTCCCTCCCCTTTCCAGAGCCTTCCCCTCTGTCCACCATTCTCATCATCAGCATTGCTGCTGTGGTTCTCCTCGTGGTCGCTGGGGTGATTGGAGCTGTGATCTGGAGGAAGCAGCGCTCAGGTAGGGAACCGACTGAATACTCTGTGTTTTCCTGTCCTGTTGGGGGGTTTTCTAGGGAGCCGCTGTCCTGCCTTGTTAACAGGAGGTGCTGTCCATACGCGGTTACTCTCCCACACTGGAGCTGTGTACTCACACTCACTGTGCAGCAAACACTTGGGAAAATGAAGGCCAGAGTTTCACTTTGGTGATTCTGGTGACGGGCACTGATTCCCAGCCGTCACAGGACAGAGCGGAAGGCCCCGCTGAGGACAGACCTTCAGCAAGTCAGGTGGTCCAGTGACCCCTCACCTCATGTCATGTCTCCTGACCCTGACCTGGGCGGTCAGTCAGAATTCTGCAGACTCACTCTGCACCAGGACTGGGAGCCTCCTCGACGATCTCCTGGCCCAGCCCTGTGCCCGGCCTCTCACATGATGTTTTCTTCCCACAGGAGGAAAAGGACCAGGCTACTCTCATGCTGTATGTGAGTATGGACAGGGTGATCCCTGAGACCCCGGGGGAGTGTAGACAGGACCCCTTGGGGAGCTCACCCCCACAGCTCCTCCTTTAGTCTCACCTCCTGTGAGCTCTGACCACGTCCTGTTTATTCTCCTCTAGGCGATGACAGTGCCCAGGGCTCTGATGTGTCTCTGACGGCTCCTAGAGGTGAGACCCCAGAGACCCTGAAGTGGGGAGGGTTGGGGCACTGGGGACCTGATGAGTGCGAGGGGGACTGTTGAGAATGTCAGCACTTATGTGACTGACCTCAATTTGTACTTGATTGTTTCTCACAGTGTGAGACCAGCTGCCCTGTGGTGACTGAGCGATGCAAGATGTGTTCACATCTCACGTGATGACATCAACCCTGGCTTGTCTCTTTGCAAACAGTGTCAGGATGTGCCTGTGTCCCTAGGAGCATAATGTGAGGAGGTGGAGAGATTGGCCCACCCTGCCCACCATGACCTGTCCCTAATCTGATGTGCACTCTCTTCTCTGATGTGCTTTCCTGTCCAGGAGAGGCAGTGCTGGACCATCTCCATCCCTGTCTTTGTTTCATGTTGAGTTAATGACTTACTACCTATTGAAAATAAGGATCCATGGGGATCCCTGGGTAGCTCAGCAGTTTAACACCTGCCTTCAGCCCAGGGCATGATCCTGGAGTCCCAGATCAAGTCCCACATCAGGCTCCTTTCATGGAGCCTGCTTCTCCCTTTGCCTGTGTCTCTGCCATTCTCTCTCTCTCTCTCTCTCTCTCTCTCTCTCTCTCTCTCTCTCTTATCTCTCATGAATAAATATATAAAATCTTTTTTAAAAAAATAAGCATCCAGATAGGGGTTTGTGTTTCCTAAGTCTTGGGATGTGGGACTGCTTAAGGTAATAAAAGATTTCTGAAGTTGAGAGAGCAAATAAATGGAAGCCCTGAGAACCTTCCAGAATCCTCATGTTTGCTGTGCTCAATCAGTTGCAGTTGGGGGCTGAAAGCTGTCAGGAGCCTAGGGGGGACGGTGCCAGTGCCCAGTAGGTGCTCAGTACATACTGGGTGAGTCGTGTTCAGGCCTCAGCCGGGTCCTCTCTTCTCCGTGTCCTTGCCCCTTCTGTAGAAGCTTGTCTCACCAGGACCTGTGATCACAGGGACTTGGACGTCACCTGTCACCAGGACCTTCTGTAGCCAGAGCTTCCTGAGACTGGGTCAGCCTGCTAGACCCAGGTCTGAGTCACAGCATAGCCCCCATTTTGTTTCTTCCTTTTTTTCTTTCTTTCTTTTTTTTTTTTTTTGAGTTGTTCCTCTAGAGCCTCATGCCTGCTCTTGCTCTTGTGTCCAAGTTCCTGTCCCATTGTCCCCTGGTGACCCCATTGGTTACAGCAGCAGGTGTCCTTTGGACTCCCGTTTCCACAGGCCTAGGTCGTCCCCTGCACACAGGAGTCCCCGAGGTTTGGAGAGATGAACTTCCAGATCCATCCACTCTCCCCCTCCCTCCCCAGCTGCTTTCTGGATTATTGTTCACATCCTGAGGTAGAGAGGGGAGAAATCAGAGGTTCTCCTCATAAGCGTCCAGGAGTTTCTGCCTCCCCTGCTGCTCTGCCCTCCCTCCCCGCCCTGGGCCCCGTGATCCCCGTGGGATTTATAAAGCAGAGTGTAACGTAGATTTCTCTGTGGCTGGAGAAGAGGACCCAGGAAGCCCAAGTGCAGTGTGTCTGAGGAGTGAACTCTGTGCGTGGTGTGTGCAGGAGAAACGGTGTGGGGGTGGGGGCTGAGCTGAGGGAGGGAAGTGGGGGCAGCCCCGTGAGGAGAGAGAGGGGGCACTGATGACCAGTGGCTGATGGGGGGGCAGGAGCTGCCACAGAACAGCTGTGCCCCAGGCGCTTCTAGAAGAGGGAGACCCTCTTCCTGCGCATTCATTCAGCTGTAACTGTCCTGTGTCACATGCAGGACACACTGTTTGCATCTGGGCAGCTCAGTGAGACTCAGATGAGGCAAACCTGCTGGTCTCCTGGAGAGTATGTTCTAGTGGTCGGGGGAGACTACACCTGACCCAGGCTGGTGGGTAATTGGGGCAGTGACCCCCTTCTGTAGTAGGAAATCCGAGTGTAGCTCATGTCTCCCCCAAAACATGCCAACTAATAGCGTGCTCGTGACTGGAACCTCACGGAGAACATGAGCAGTTGCTTATACTGTGTGTTATGGGTAGTGTGTACTGTGCTCTTATGATGAGCGAAGCTGCAATAAATTAGTAAATCATAAGGAAGGGAAACACCGTGGATAGTACTTACAGTAAAAAAGTCCCCATACAGGTGCACACGCACAGTCCCAACCCGTGTAATTCAGACATGAACTGTGTGTGTGTGTGTGTGTGTGTGTGTGTGTGTGTGTGTGTGTGTGTAAGCACAATAAGTAAGGGAGGTGTAGACATTGGAAGTAGGTAGGAGCCTTGAGGAAGGTGACCCAGAGAGAACCTGCTCTAGGACAGGGACGGTGGCCACCTTACTGCAGGGATTGGGGGAGCCTCCCTGAGAAGGCGACCTGGGAGAGATTGGAGGACATGAATTGTGTAGGAGGATGTCTGGGGGAAGTTCTTTCCAGGCAGGGAACCTCCATGCTCAAGCTCCAGGGCAGGAGCCTGTCCCATGTTTGAGGGAGGGTGAGGAGGCCCCTGGGGCTGGAGCAGAGAGCAAGGGGGGTGACATGACGTCACGTCATGGAGGCCTGAGGACAGTAGAAGGGTTTTGAGTTTTCTCTGAGTGTGATGTGGAGTCATAAGAATGAACAGATCAATTCATTGAATTTCTTTACCAGCACCTCTTTGCTGCTGCGCAGAATTGAGAGGTGAAGGGGAGCAACTAGTAAGGAACCTGTAGGACCCAGGGCAGTGTCCCAGGAGGGGGATGGGGGCTGAACATCTGGAGTGTGGGGAGGGAAGGTAATAGGAAATGAGTGGGTGCTGGATATGGTTACAGGTGAACTCTGCAGTATTTCCTAAGGCATTCCTTCTGGGGGGTGAGAGGGAGGGATCAAGGAGGGCATCCGGTATTTCAGACTGCAAGGAGAAGTGTGCAGTGCCTTCCATAGAGATGAAGGAGACACTGGAATCAGGACATTGGGAAGCAGCATCACAGACATCCACTTAGGAGTGTGGAATTTGGGATCTATAAGAAATGTAGCTGATGTCAGTTGGATACAGAGATATCAAGATTGGAGAATTATACTTGGGAGGTGGCTCCACATCAATCAGTTTCAGAGCCTTCAGCAGAGATGAGGACACCAAGGGTGTGATGGCCATAGAAGAGAAAGGAACAGGCCCAATCCCTGGACTGCTCAGGGCTAAGCAAGCTGATCAGAGCGCACCCCCACAGAGCAGTACGCATCTAGTTCTGCATCTAGTAGGTGCATAGAACAGAGAGGCCCAGCCTTCAGTGAGCACAGGGATTTCCTGGACTGTGCAGATCTAGAGAGGCTGGAGCACAGTGTGGGATTCGGGGTTTCTACAAGGTTGCTGCTGCTGCTGTTGGTCTTTGAGTAGCAAGCACATGAAGCAGGGTCCCCCGAGTCCCAATTTGAAGACTTCTGGCAAAGCAATGGTAATCAAGGCGGTGTCAGGGGATTGGTTCAAGATGGCAGCTTACAAACATCCTGAACCCATCTTCTTCCATGGACCCAATAGATTTTCAACTACTTGTGGAACAATCTCCTCTAAAGAAGATCTAAGCCTCCACAGCAAAGGATAAAAGGGCAGCATCAACACAGGTAAGAGAGGCAGAGACATTCTTGCCAAAACCAAAAAACTAGAAAATCCACCCCAGGCCTGAGAATCCAAAATATTGTGGCATCACAAAAATACACAACTTTGCTGAGAAGCAAGGGGTCTGTGCTCTACACCAGACACTAAACCCTGGGTCCTCCACAGGAGAGACGAGCCCCTCATGTGCCCGGCTTTGAAAACCAAAGGGATCATATTCAGGAAAACCACACAACTCTAGGGAATGAAGTAGTCACTCTTAAAGTTTGTGTGCAGTCTCACTCACCTCTGACTCAGTTTAAACACCAGTTTGAAAAGTTCCTAGGACACAAGTGAGGAAGATCCATTCACTAATCTTTGTTTTCTTTTCCTATCAATTCCAGTATAGTTAGCATACAGTGTTATATTAGCTTCTGATGTACAATAAAATGATTCAGCAGTTCTATACATGACATCATGATTGTCAGGATAAGTGTACTGTTATATCTGATAAAGGTTTAGTATCCAAAACTTAGGAAGAACTTCTCAAACTCAACACCCCAAAACCAAATAATCAAATTAAGAAATGGTCAGAAGACACGAGTAGACATTTTCCCAAGGCATCCAGATGGCTTGCAGACACATGAAAGATGCTCAACATCACTCACCATCAGGGAAACCCAAATCAAAACCATGATGAGACACCACCTCACACCTGTCAGAATGGAGAACATTCACAACACAGGAAACAACAGATGTTGGCGAGGATGCAGAGAAAGGAACACTCCTGCACTGTTGGAAGAATGAAAACTGGTGCAGCCACTCTGGTAAACAAGATGGAAGAACAACAGAAAGGTAAGAATAGAGCTACCCCATGATTTAGCAATTGCATTAGTAGGTATTTACCCAAAGGATACAAAAATGCGGATTAAAAGGGGTACATGCATCCTGATGTTTATAGCAGCATTCTCAACAATAGCCATGCTATGGAAAGAGACCAAGTGTCTGTCGACTAATGAATGGATAGAGAAGATTTGTACACAGTGAAATATTACTCAGCCATCCAAAAGAATGAAAGTGCCATTTGCAGTGACATGGAAGGAGCTAGAGGATATTATGCTAAGCAAAATAAGTAAGTCAGAGAAAGACAAATAACATATGATTTCACTCATATTTTGAATTTAGGCAGCAAAACAGATGAATATGTGACACGGAAGGGAGAAAAGAGAGAGATGGAGAGAAGGGGAGGCAAACCATAAAAGACTCCTAATGATAGGGAAGAAACAGAGTTGATGGGGCTGGGGGTGGCCTAGCGGTGGGAGGGGTATTAAGGAGTTCACTCGGGATCCACGGGTGGCTCAGCAGTTTAGCACCTGCCTTTCACCTAGGGCATGATCTTGGAGTCCCAGGATCGAGTCCCACATCAGGCTCCCTGCATGGAGCCTGCTTTCCCTCTGCCTGTGTCTCTGCCTCTCTCTCTCTGTGTCTCTCATGAATAAATAAATAAAATCTTTAAAAAAAAAAAAAGATGAGCGTACTCGCTGTGAAGCACACTGGGTGTTACATGTAAGTGATAAATTACTAAATTCTACTCCAGAAACAACAAAAATTATGTTCACTCCTACCTGACAGAAGCTGTGTGTTCAATGAACCTTAGGGAATAAGAAGTAAATGCCAATCTTGAGTTCCTAAATCATAAACTAAAAGGGAATTCTAAAAATCATAATGATCCTGTTCTTTTTTGGTAAACTAGCTCCAGGTAGAGTGAGTGATTGCAGGTGTTTGTGTGGACAGGTTTTCAACTTCTTTGGGTCAATAGCGGGAAGCACAGCTGCTGGATCCTATGAACATAGGGTGTCTTTCCATTGATTTACACCTTTGTTACCTTCTTTAGTCAATGTCTTGTAATTTTCAGTGTACAAGTCTCTTATTTGGAAGTTTAAAAACCAAGTATTCTATTCTTTTTAAAAATGCAATCATCACTCTTAATTCTAGGAAACAAACTGAGGGTTGCTGGAAGGAGGTGGGTGGGGATGGGGTAACTGGGTGATGGGCATGAAGGAGGGTATGAGATGCCATGAGCGCTGGGTGTATATGAAACTGATGAATCACTAAACTCTACATCTCGGAATAATAATACACTATATGTTAATTAATTGAATTTAAATTAGTTAATTAAAATGCTATTATAAATGGAATTGTCTTCAGAACATCCTGTTCAA